CCCCTCAGTATATTGAGCTGTCCCTTCCCCCAAAAAACAAAAACCAGACAAATCAAAATTAGCTTTGTCCTGTGGACTTGAAAGCTGGGCTCTACCCTTTCCTCTGTCTGGAGGGCAAGGCCACCCTCCTTTTCCTGAACCTGAGGGCTACACATATGTCCCCAAGTCTGAGGGATCATCTCTAGAGAGAGCCACCTTGGCCAACTGAGAAAGCCAGGCAGCTTCCTTACCCCCCACGCTGGCTGAGCACCAGGTGGCCACCCCAAGTTCTCCCTGCAGGCAGCAAGTGGCTGACAGTTCAGGGAGTGGCAGGGTAGATGGGGCCACACCACCTGCTGCAGGTTGAGGTTGCTTCCCTTGGTTCCAACTCAGCCTGAGATGGGAGAGCAGCTTTTTGCTTCCTTCTTATCATCCCATTAGCATTTTACCTCGGGGAAGTGTGTGTGTTTGTGTGTTAGGGAAAGAGATGGGGTGATGTGCCCATACATCACCAAAAGGACACACTCACTGCTCTGGTTGGACCTGGGAAAACCCTAAACTGCCAAATCTGAAGTGAGGGAAACAAGCGTCCTATATGCGACCAGTATCACGGCATACACACACACACACACATACACACACACACACGCCCCACTGTGCACAGCTGTGTTCTAATATAGAGAATTTACAAAATATAGAATTTGGTATATTTGTTAGATCTCCAAGGTTTTCAATAATACAAAATAAAAAATACAAAAAGACAGGTTGGGACCCCTTCCCTCCCTCCCAGTGGCATCCTCTGTTGTTTGTGGGTCTCTTACACGCGTACAACTAGCATAGTCTAAAGAAGGGCACAGAAACATGTTTTGTTTTATTTAATAAATATTTTCCTTTCCTCAGAACCACCACTCCTTGCTTCAAGTCCTCTCGCCTCCCCCTCGCAATTAGTTCTGTTCCCCTCAAAGGGGCATTGTCTGTGCGTGTGTAGGTGGAAGAGGGGACTGCGGTGAAGGCCACAGTCCTTCCAAAGCCAGCACTCCTGCCCGAAAGCCCCTCCATGGAGCAGGGGCCAGTATCTGCCTGAAGTTTAAAGGCTCGTCTAGAAAAGCAGAACCCTCAGGGCCCCCTAGGCTCCCCCCAGCCCCCGAGACCCAGGCCTCTCCCTCAGCCCTACCCTCGAGCACTGGGTGGCCACACACTGATCTACAGGCCAGGATCTCCTTTCCGCCCGCGCAGCAGCAGCACCCGTTAGAAAACTCAAGATTCAGGTCGAACCTAGCGGCATCTTCTATAGAGGGAGTCATCTTTGGTCAGCTTGGTGCTCGCAGGACGCTGGCACCCAGGGCCTGGGACCGAGGCTGCTGCCCGCCCGCAAAGGCAGAAGTTGCTTCTGGAGTCAACGTGGAAAATCTCCCGGCGCGGGCACCTGGGCTGGAGCGCAGACTTCCATCTGCCCGCTCGGCACACAAAGAAGCCGTTTCTATTTCTCTGGAGGCCAGGCTGCCTGGCATCGCTGGCTGGCAGCTGCTAACTGAGCGGGGGCCCTCCATTGAGGAAATAGGTCATCATCTCGCCTTTGCCCTTGACCTTGACCACACCTCGGCACTCCAGCTGGTATGTGTTGGCAGCCAGCACCTGGTACATGTCTGTTGTGACCTGAGGAGGCAAAGGAGAGAGGACAGGCAATCAACAACCTGAGCTGTGAATCCACTGTTGGGCAGAGATGCCTGACTGCCTTTGACATAGAAGGGCGGGTGGCATCTCCCTGTCGGGGGCTCTCGGGGATGGACAACTGCTCATCCATGGAAGTGCCATTCCAGTGCTGCTCCAAGTGTGGCCGTCACCCGCACGAGAAGTGCAGAGGCTGAGTCAGCGGGAGGAACTCCCGCCACCTGACCCCCACGTGGCCAGTGTTTTCCCAAGGTCTCACTCCACGACAGATCAGAAGTATTTTTAGAAAGTGGTTTTTCACCAGAGAGTCTGAGAACCACTGCTTATCTCAACTACTTTATGAGTGAAATACTATTATCTCAGGCTCAAAAAATCTGAGTCACTTGCCTGTGATTACACAGCTAATGACAGGCCCAGCTGATTCAGTTCCACAGCATATTGCCCGTCTCTCCTTCAGCTTTTGGAACAGAGGAGAACTCAGAGGCGGCTTCAGTGATGACACTACACTGTGCAGGGTGAGGGTGAAGAGCAGGGGTGACTGGAATGGCAGTGGGACAAAAGCCTCACAAGGCAATCCAAGAGCCATTTCTGAGTATCGCCAGCACTACTCCGCCAGCCGGCAGCAACACCCCGAGAGTGTCCTGGCCCAGTCCAGCCACCAGGCCAGGGAGGAAGGGGCCAGGAACCTCTGAGTAGGCTGTGGGGGATGACCCTGCCATGTTACTAAGTGTATTCCATCAACGGTGAGGCCCCATGCATGGGGTGCCCCGGATTATTGTGTGGCTGCTGACAAAGTCCCTCACACCTGTCGTGGGTGAGGTTAGGAGCTCTGCAAACACACATGCCTCTCTCCTCATTTCCCCTTATGACCTCCAGTTCCTATCTCGCTGTCCCTTCTCCCCTTGGCATAGGGATGGAGGTGCGAGGTCACTTGGCCAGGCCCCTCAGACAGTACCCACAAGCCAGCCAGGCCAGACTGGTCTGCCCAGGGCCATGCTTAGGGCCAACCCCTGTGTTCTAAGACCCTGCAGGAGAGAGAAGTCAGGGGACATTTGAGTGGTGTCAGTGTGAGCAGAAGGCCATAAAAAAAGCACCATTAGCATTTGGGGAAACCGAAGCCATGGAAGCTAAATGACCACAGTTCACGGGAACTGGGGTGTGGGGAGGGGGGTGCAGGACTAGAGCCCAGCCCAGGGCTTCTCTGTTGTCAGGTTGAAGCAGAAAGAATCAAGGGAAGCCTGAGAAAAAAACAAAAAAAGAGCAGCTGCAGAGTGGATGGCCTGGGACCACAGCACCGGCTCACAAAGGCTGCGGGAGGAGGAAAAGTCTCTGGGGCTCCATGGCTGCTGGGGGGCTGGTGGAGGCACCGTCCCAGGGACTGAACCAGGCCTGAGTGCTGTGGGCTCCACTGGGCAAGACCTTGCTCCCTGGGTCATCTCTGTGTCCCTCTGTGTGCCTGGGCTGTGGCATTAGCACTCCTGGCATGGCATGGGCAGCCAGCCTCCGCTATACCCTCTCATTCCTTCTGTGGCCAGTACAGGGCTCTGCACAGGCCTGGGGATCTGTCCAAGGTACTAAGAGCCTGAAACCAATCGTGTTCTCCAAGCTTCCAAGACATCAGTGCCAACCATCCAATCATCCTTGAATGTGGCGGCAGAAATTCTGCTGGAAACTGTGGGTGGCCTGCCCCCAAACCACCAAGCTTCAGACAGAGGCCTCCGATGCGGGGCAGGCAGGCGGCGGACGCTCCCGCACTCACCTGGATGCGGTCAGGCACGCCGGTGCTGTCCATGCGGCTGGCCACGTTCACCGTGTTGCCCCAGATGTCGTACTGAGGCTTGCGGGCCCCGATCACCCCGGCCACCACGGGGCCGATATTGAGCCCTGCAGGGGACAAGAGTCAGCATGCTCATCAGGACTCGGACCAGCACCTGCCCTCACTGTCATTCCTCCCTCCACACACATGGCTTCTCCCTCTGACTCTCCTGTCTGAAGACACCCGGCGTCCTCCAGTCCCGAGGCTGTGTTTAACCCTGCAGCTCCTACTTCTGGGCTATCAAACGCCGTAACTCAAGGTCACAGGAACCTGTTCACATGCCCAATGCACCTGTGTCCTCTCATCCAGTCACTGCTCAGCTCCTGCCTCGCCAGGACCAGGACTGCCCTCTTCAAGGTTTCCAGTGACCTCTTGCGCCACCCAACTGCCTTTCCCTAATCGTCCCTCTCTTGGTGGCACTTAAGTTTTAAGCTTCAGCCTAGACTCAGGATGCCAGATCTCGCCCCTTTCTTCTTCCCACCCCTGTTTCCTTCAGGGGCGCCCCTTTCTCGTTCTTAGAACATGGCTCCTGACTCACCATCTCCTCTCTCCAGATAATCTCCCTGGGCCTCTCCCAGGGCAGGGAAACCGCAGGACCACCGGCTCCCCGGCTCACTCCCAGCACTTCTGCCCAGGGCATCGCTGAGCAGCCCCGCCTCTGAGACTTTTCTCTGCCTGTCCTCCACCTGAAGTGTCCTCCTTCCTCCTCTCCAGGGGAAACCCTTCCCTGGCACATCTGGCTCAACCGACATTCTCTAGACATTTTCTGCCATGTCTCCAAGCCTCCGGGCGCCCCCTCCTGTTCTGTTAACTGTCTGTCGCATGCTGGGCCTCATTAAACCTCTTCGTTGCTTCACTGACTCTTGCGTGTGAGACGTAAGACCACAAACATAGCAGAAGCTCCCGAATAGGCCCATCAGGCCGCTCACTCACTCGGACACATCATCAGTCCTCAGGGCTCTTCCTTCCATGACCTTCCTCTCTCGTCCCGTCAAACCACAGTAGCTTTTTACCCCACGTGCTGTTTCCAGGCTGGACTAACTCCCTGGCCAAAAACCAAGCTCCTGAGTGAAGATGTTCCAGGGTCTGGAGGAAGGACTTTGCTACACGAGGCTCCCGACTGCCTGCCCAGCTACTTGTTCACTTGTCACTCAGTCTCCAGTCCTGGTCCGAGGAAGGAGTGGACGCAGCTTACAAAAATGCAAATCAACGTAGGTGGGAAGGAAGGAGTGTAAGGAAAATAACAGCAACTTTATGAAACCAGGGGTGAAATGAACACAGAAATGTAGGCTGCACGTGAGGTGAAGCAGACACCCAGGCTGGCTCTGGTCTGGGCCTTCCAGCAGCCAGTGCAAAATGAGAACCTGGCCAAGTCCACCGGGCACTGGCCTCCAGGCTAATATAGCAGCTCGTTCAGAGAAAGCCCAATTCCCAACACTCAGCCAGAACAAAAGGTCTCCCAAGGCCATTAGTGATCACAATATCGATGGCAATCCAATATTTTGGCTTCATGTGCTAATTTTTGAGAATTGAAATACCAGTATTTTTGTTGGTAAATTACTGTTCCTTTTTTTAAAAAAAAAATTGAAATCTGAATCATTTGTGGCTTGAGACATGCCCAGGGAGTTGACAGTGCATTGAAATTTTGAATAGAAGAAAGCTCTGCCCTGTCGGAAGGCATTCTTCACCCCCACCGTCCTCAAGAGGAGGAGGGCAGCAGGGGGGTCGGGCTGGGGAGCTGGGTGAGAAAGGTGAAGGGATTGAGAAGTACAGAGTGGCAGTTACTAAACAGTCACAGGGATGTGAAGTACAGCATAGGAAACAGTCAATAATATTGTCATAAGTAGGTATGATGCCAGGTGGGTACTTGAAATGGCAGGGGGACCACTTTGTAAAGTACATGATTGTCTAACCACTAGGCTGTACACCTGAGACCAACACAAAATAATACTAAATGTGAACTGTAATTGAAAAAAATACAAAAATAAATAAGAGGAGGAAAGCAGCAACACTCTACAAAGCAAAATTTCTACTGCAAAATAACTCACGCTGGAAGCCTGGACGTCCTTGGTAAGATATATGCTAAGAACAAAACAAACTGCAGAAACACCTTGAACTTCATGGAGCAACATACTCAGTCGTAATCTGAAATCACTTTGTGGCTACAGTAGGTGGAGCCTGCGGGACTGTGTTGATGTACATGGGTTTTCACTGCACTATTCTTTCAACCCTTCTGCAGAACTGAAGCTTGTCAGAATACAAGGTTGGGGTAATAAAACAACAAAATTAAATACAAAAAAAAGGAAAAAAATTATATAGGGTTGGTTCAAAGATTTTCTGAGCAAGTAGAACAGGGCCCTGACGGTGAAAAGGACCCAGGGCCTCTCTGCTCAGAACACCCCCTCTCTTCTGCAGCAGCCCCCACCCCTGGGACACCACCCCCGTCATAGGCAAAGCCCCTCAAAGCCGCCCAAAGAGGGCTGAGGAGTTTGACAAAGGAGTCCAGGGAGGATCTCTACGTGCTCACTGTTTCTTTCTCTAGTTCACGCGGATTAAAAAAGCTTTCGCAGCACCTAGGAGGCTGTGCTCGCGCACAGAGACCACCGGGAACTCGGCAATAACCCTGCTGACCCATTTTGTTTTTTAAGATTACTCTCTTTCAAAAGGATTCTCCTAGTCATTTCATTGTAAATTTTACATGATTCTTTTCATGTTTAGTTTTTAAAAACATTTCACTACATTTATTTTATTTTGCTAACAATTTTATAGAACTGTTATGCTCAATATTTTTATAAATTTGAAAATTGAATGCCCTGTACCATGTTTACTCATTTTGCATTTAAAATGGTTAAATATTTCATTTTACTGTTTTTCATTTGTACTGAATGGATTTGGAACACTTTTACATAAAATACTGCTGTTAAGTCAGTGTTACTTGAAATAAGTGGGATTGCCATGCCCCTAAGGCGGCCACTAGGAGGCCGCATGTCCTTGGCACACAGCATCCCCTGCAAAGCCTTTCAGGAAGGCACAGCCTGGGTCCAAGCAGGCTTTCCCAACTAGTGGGTGAGGTGGGAACTCAGAAAGAGGATGTCCTGTGCATGTCATCCACACATCACCATGCAGAGGAGGCACCTCTAGGCCCCAGGAGAAATATGCTCTGAGTGATGGGAGTCAGCCTCTGCTTGGAACTGGGTCACTAATGCAGAATGGGAGAGGGGACGGGAGCCCCTACCAACCCCCAGCCCTCCCAGGCGGCTTACCAATCTTCATCTGGAAGTTGTTGAAGGAGTGCTCGTTGATGTACTTCATTTGGTCCATCAGCTTCATGGCGAAGTCGGCCAGAGCTTTGATGTGGGTCTTGCCTGCCTTGTCGTAGGTGGAATCATTAAGGCCTGAGGCAGCCATGTAGGTGCTGCCGATGGTCTTGATCTTTTCCAGCTGCTTAAACCGATCCTCGCTGATGATCTGAAGAAGGCCAAACTGGGTCACCCCCGAGTCTGGGGCACTGAGGTCTCAGGGAAGTGCAGCAGTGTCTCCCCAATTCGCACAGTGGGCCTGTCTCTATCACCAGCTCAGTGCAAAGTTCTGATGCTCCCTGACAGAGCCAAGCTCCTCCAGCACTCACTGCTGTGGAGGGGTTGTGTGCTACTGGCCAACCCCGGCACCAAGAGCCCCTGTGGTCAGGTCACTAGTCACCTCTGGGTCTCTTGCTCCCTACAGGGGCTGGTAGGCATCTACCACTTCACTGGCTCATGTTCCCATCCCTTCCAGGAAAACCTCATGTTTGTCCAGCAGGATATCCTTCTATCTCCAGGACATGCTGGGAGCCTTCCAAGACCCATTTCAGCAGACTCCAGCTACCCCACTGCCCCAAGAGTCCATGTGCTGTTTCTGACACTATTGGGTCCCAACTCTCCTTTCTGAGCTCCATGCTCCAGGCCTTGGATGCCCACTGGGGTTGTCCTTCACACTCACTACCCGGTGAGTTCCCAGGGTGAAGGCTGCCTAATGGGTACAGCACCCCCGTGCCTGGCATGTACTAGCTGCTCAACAGGGTGTGATACATAGAGAAACGGCTTTGTTTCTGCCTCTGATGTTGAGGGTTTTGCATCTCTGTCCTGCCTCCTGACTCCTCCCTCAGCCTGGGAATTCCGCCTTCCTGTGACTCAGAGGCTGGGTCCCACCGGAGGAATGGTGGATGATGGGAGTGGTTGGCAAGTCAGCCGGGCTGGGCCTCAGTGGGCAGCTAAGGTGCACAGGGTGCAAATTCAAAAGGCCTGGGCTGAAACCCCAGCCCTGCCACTTACTGGCAGTGACCTTAGGCAAGACACATCACATGCATGGGCCTCAGTTTTCTCATCTGTAACACGAAGATAGGGAGGAAATGTCTGCAAGGTGCCTGTGACAGTGCCTGGGACACCACGGCCAGGGCTCCTGATGCTGAAAGGGAGCATCAATCTCTTCCCATCCCTCCCACTCCAGGGACCCAAGTGCCCCCTCAGCCCTCCCTGCACCTCATCAAAGTCGGCGATGATCTCGTTGAGCAGCCGAAGGCACTCGACACCCTCGTTGTTGGCCTCCAGCTCCACATAGAACTCGGAGAAGTTGGCGATGGAGGCGAACATGACGGCCACGCACTCGCAGGACTGGTAGTAGAGCTCGTCATTGCGCCGCTCGCGGGCCAGGAAGTGGGCGGCCACGTCCTTGGGCAGGATGTTGTGCAGCAGCCGCCGGTTGTAGGCCTGCAGCTCCTCCATCTCCTCCTTCTCCTCTGTGGCCTGAGACAGAGGACCGGTCAGAGGGAGGGGACGAGCGACGCGTGACTTTGAAAAAAGAGTGTGACTGCCCAGATGCCAGCGTGTGCCCAAGATTCTAACAAGTGCCCAGCTTCCTAGCCTCTCTTTGCTGCCTCTAGTTCCAATTTTTCTATAAAGAGCATGCATTGCTTTGACCATCAGAAAAGAGAGATCTGTAAGTAACTCTTCTTGCCTGCCTCTTGGAAAGTGACACATATGAGGGGGTTGATCCTGAAGCAGGGACCCGAGTGGAAACAGGTCCTAGAGGAGAGGCCAGAACATCCTGTCTGCCTGACGAGAATGACGGCCCTCCTGCTACCCAAGTGCTCCTCAGCTCTCCAGTTTTCTCTTCAAGGCAGGATATGCAATCAGAAAAGCAGTTTGATAGGGTAGCTTTAACAGAATGACCCATGGCCAGTCTCCCTGGGTCCCACAGGAGCAGACTCAACCCTGCCAGATGCAGCCAGGCAGGGCCAGGAGGTGCAGGTGCCCCAAGGTGCTACCCAGGGCAGGACAGGGACACCTTTGACTTTGGTTTCTCCTCAGTCTGGGTCTTGGGTCTGGGCAGTTGGGGTTTATGTTACGCACCCTCCAGGTTAAAGGGACACTCAGGTCAAAGGCCAGTTGTGGCCCACAGGTCATGCACCAAGGTGTGCAAGGAGCCACCTGATCAGAGTATTCATGGGACAGAGGGGTACAGAGTGGAGTCTGCTGGCTTCCTCCCCTCCGATGGCAAACAGTATGGCTCCTTTAACTGGGAGTGACCGTGTTGGTCCAGCAGGCAGGGAAAAGATCACTAACCAGGGCCGTTTAAATGGTCCAGCCAGGGCCCCGGCAGGTGTGGCTCAGCTGGCTGAGCATTATCTCATGTGCTGAGAGGCCACAGGTTTTATCCTGGTCAGGGGTTGTGGGCTTGATCCCCAGTAGGGGGCGTGCAGGAGGCAGCCAACTGATGTTTCTCTCTCTCTCTCCCCCTTCCCCTCTCTCTTTAAAAAAAAAAAATCAATAAAAACATATATATATTTTTAAAAGTTCCTTTAAAAAAAAAAAAAAAAGATTTAGCCAGACTGCTTGGGTCTTCCCTAACTCAATGTGGTGGTCTTTCTATTCAGCTGTAACTAGAACTCCCAAAAAGGCCAGGACTACTTCTCAGGGCCCTGGCTGCCCTGGCTCTCTTGGTGGGTTGTGGCTGCTGTGGGAAGGAGCAGGTACACCCACCCACGACCACAGGACAGAGGACCTGGGTCCAGCAAGGAAGGCAGAAAGCTCAGTGACCCCAAGGCTGAGGCTGAACCTTGCCCTCAAGGTGAGAGGACCACAGCCCCTCACTCCTACAACCACCGGAAACATGGCCATGAGGATACGGGTCATGCCTGAGGAAGCTCCTGGACCCTCAGGTGCCAGGTGGATCCAGTAGGCATGTGCTACCTTCCTACCCCAGCCTTCCAGCCCAGGTGACCTCTGTTCCTGTAAAGTGGGACACTTGGACCACTTTCCTCCCCATAAATCAGGGCCACCTGCTCCTAGCTCTGGAACAGGTGTGCCAGAGGGAGAAGCTGGAGTAGGCTGGAGCGGGAGACCTTGTACTTCTCGCAAGCTGTCCCAAGGAGAAGCCCCAGCTGGTCTACCTGCCTCTGAAAATGCTCCAGGCTGAGCAGTCTTGCTCCTACTGCCTGCTGAGACCACATGCCTGGGACCACCAGACCAGCAGGTGGCAGAAATGTGACACATGTCCTTCCCAGAGAGCAAGTTACCCAAAATGTCAGGCACAGTGGCAGTGTAAGGGGGGTGGGGACACTGGGAACATGGCTACTGATGGGAACAGAGACCAAATTCCCCAGGCCCTGGCCAGGTGCCTCCACCATATCTGGGGAACCAGCATGTTGGGCAGCTTCCAACACAGCCAGATGCTTTTGGGGTTAGACTCTGGCTGGGCAGGAAGGCTTGGGGGTCCACAGCCTCCTGCTGGCCTTAATAAAGTCAGTGCGGTGGGAGGGGGACAAGAGTGGGCTCTCCCCTGAGAGGTAAGACCAGTGGTTCTGCCAGGACGGGACCTTATGAATAAGGGTGTTCCTCATGCAGGGGCTTCAGGGAAGCTAAGGACCCTAGGCCACCCCACTTCCCTGTCAGCACCTACCACCCACTATGACCATAGATCCAACAGCAAAATGGGCTGCTGAGACGGGGGTGGGCTAACAGACTGTGCCCCACCCATCCCAATGACCTGCAGTCAGGAATTTGTTTATTGGTATTTATTTGATGTTATCCCCTCTCCCGAAAGCCCCAGAGCAGGATGGGAGATGGAGGGACGTGGAAGCATCATGAACCTGTAGGAGAGGCTGACATACCCGCTGGGTAGGGACACGATCACCGCACACCCACACACCTGTGCACAGGCCTTCTTAACTGTCTTCAAAATGGGAGGAGGGCCCAGCCACTTCCCTTCCAACCTCCCCTTCCCTCCCTCCCTCGTGCAGAGCCCTTGGTGCCTGAGGAAACAAAGTGATCAGAGGAAGGGTGTCACAGGTGGCACACCCAGGTCACTAGAAGCAGGGTGGTGAGAGGGGAGGGGGCATGGTGGGGCAGAGAGGGGGGCTGGAGGTTGGTTCCGCTGAGCAAATGAGTAAATCTATGGAAGACAATGGGAGCCAGGTATCTCACGGCCAGAGACGGTGTTTGCAAGCATGAAAGAAGGGCTACAAAGAAGCCTGAGGTGTTGCATTGAAAAAGGAGGCACTGGTATAAACTGGTGGGTTTAAATATCAACAGGGAGATACTGGAGTAGTATCCATGTGTCTATACATCCATTTATATATTTGTTCATATACCCTAACATATATTTCCTAGCTTTGCCCACAGAGAGGACTTACAACAGTAGACACACTAAGCACCTTGATCTTGTTTTCTAAATGCCGTTCTCTACTAACGAGGATTGGGGCTCTTTGAAGAAATCACTGATTGCTGGGCTGGAGTAGGGAAAGTACACGATGAACCCAAGATATCGTCTTGTGTCAGGAAGTAAGCAAATGCTCAAAGAATGATGGAGACATGTCAAAGCACAGAAGCCAACTTGAGGAAACTCACAAACCCAGGAGAATTCGAGCACTGAAATAATGAGAGGAGCAGATTAAAACCCACTGAATTTTATAGGAATCTCTGAGTCCCTGCTCACACAGAGAAGTGAATGACTAAGTAGGTAAGTGGGGAGAAGGGGGCTCTTCCTGACAGTAGAACAAATGTGGAAGGAACAAATGTGGAAGGAACGACGGACATGTGTCATCACTACCGGGTAGGCAGGATCAGCAGTGGATGCTGGGACTGGTGGGTGGAGGCTTGCTGAGGATCAGAATATTGGTGTAATATTGGAATATCTTTCCGCAAAATGCTAGTTGAATGCAAAAGGGAAGATGGAGCCTGGACAGTGGAGAAATTCAGCAGACGCCCACTGAGCAGGTGATCAAGGTTCAAGTCACCAGGGATGGGACAGGTCAGCACAGTGGAATCCCTAGTGTGACACTATGAGAAGGAACAGTGTCACTTCCATGGTTTTCCTCTAAGAAGGTGTGGCCTGAGTCTGGACATGGGAAATGTCAATGAACCTAGGCTGAGGGTCACAGGATGAGGACTGGCAAAGGCTGGGAGACAAGAAAAGACTGAGAAGACTGGCAACTAAAGGCAAAGAGTGTAACTGGCTAGAATCCTGGGCTAGACCTGGGAGCACTGGCAAAATGGGAATTGGCTCTGTGGGAGGGATGGTGCTGCGCCAGGGCTTATGTCTTGACTGGGAGGCCAAGTGGGGGTGATGTAGGGAGTGCCCTGCCTTTTGAAGGTAGACACTGGAAAATTTGGGGGTGATGGGGCATCATGTCAGAAGGATGGGGGTGGGGCGATTGAGCAAATGCCAGATTGGGGAATCTGGCGAAGGGACTGCTGGAGTTCTCTATACTGTTCTTATAACTTTTCTGTAGGTTTTAAATTATTTTTTAAAACTTCCTCCCAAGAAGAGAAGATAAAAATGGTGGGGGAGCATAGGCGTGGGGAGGGAGGAGGTCAGGGAGAAGAGATAAGTGGAGTGAACCTGTGTCTGTCACCAGGCGTAGGGAGGAACACTAATAGCACATGTCTCTGGGGCTGCAGACCCGCTGAGGAGTGACTGAGAACAGCCTGGTCTCTGGATCGCCTCAAGCCCTCAGCACCGCTAGGGGGCAGGGCTGCAGCCCAGGGATGCTGGAGGGAAAGGGAACTGGGCCTGTGTGTGGGGCCTCAGCCCCAGGGCCCTGGAGGCGGCCACCATACCCCTACAGCAGCCCAGGAGAGACCCCACAACCCTGGCTGTTTTGGGCCTGGGAGGTTCAGAGCCGGCTGAGAGATGAGAGGTGTCAGCTCTCCAGAGGAGACAGGCACCCACTTCGTGGCTCATCCAACTCTTCACCTTCAAGCTCCAGGGGCAGCACCTGGCTGGGGCTGAGAGAAAGCTGCTGCCGCCTGAGCCCTGGGGGCCCCGGCATGGGCTGTGGGGGAGCTTCGGGCTGCACTGCTCAGCGCTGGCAGGCAGCCTGTTTGACCCTGTGCACTCAGGCTCTGGACAGACATGGGCTGGATGGGGGTAAAGGGGCATCAGGTCAGAGAGAGAGGCTGAGGGCCAGGTTCACCCTGCCCTTGTTTTCACCCCTTTCTAGAGGCCTTTGCAACATCGGCTCCAAGTCCCACAGAGCCTGGTCAGCCCCAGGAGAGAGTCTCCCCAAAAGAGAGGGCATGGGGGAGCAGGGAGGAGGCTGGGAGGCAGCCGAGAAGAGCCGGTGCAGCCTCACCCTGGACTTCCCTGAGGCCCTCCCCAGCCAGGGCTTCTGAAGGCCATTCCCATGGAAAACTTATTCCCCTGACCCCAGGATATCCCCACTGGAGACCTCAGTGGGAACTTCAGCCAGACTTCATGCAGAATACCCAACAGCAGGGCAACCAGATGCCTCTATCTTCCCTTGGCACCCAATGAAAGCCCAGGGTCTCCTGCCCACAGCCCGAAGACTTCAACCTCAATGTTAATAAAAAGTTAAGGAGGGCGGAGGCCTAAGCCAGTTGCAGATGAGCTGGAGAAGTGGTCTGGACATAGGAGCCAGGCCAGGGGAGACAAAGAGACCACGCTACGCTATGCTCTGTGAGAGGCTGGCCTGGAATAACAGGTCTGAGGCCACCTGCCTGGACCAAGGCTTGTTCAAGGTTAGTGCCCGTGGGCGCCCTCTCCTGGACCTTTTTACGTGAACTACCAGGTAACAAGGGGCTGCTGCTAGCACCTGGAGTGCCCTGTGAGTGGCCCAGAGGCATCCCCTCTGCATGTGGATCTCTCAGGGTGCAGGGCACGAAGCTTGGATGGCAGGGCACTGGCTGGATTTCGGCTCCACTTGAGCACCCAGCGCAGGTCAGAGCTGTGGCCCCCAGCACCCCACTGCCTCTGCCCGTGCCTGACACCTCTCACTAGGGCCAGGGCACAGCCACTTGGCTGGGCTTCCTGTTGACAGTCCTTGATGCCCCCTTCCACCCATCCTCCCCTGGAGAAATATTCAGGCCCAGTTCTGGCCACGTCAAGCCCTCCTCAGGAGCCTTGAGTGCCAGCTCCTGCACCTGGCCAGGCCCCTGCACTGCCTCCGTGGAGACACTGGGACTGCATGCCCCTCCTCCTCTCCTCTCCTCCTGCCACTCTTCTCCCATACCCTCTTTGCTGCTCCTACCACACACTGGGCCTGTCCACACCTCTCCTGTCCCTTACTCTGGATGCACACAGTATTTGTGACAAGAGCATATTTCCTGGGCCCATCAAGTGGGTTTGGCTGGAATAAACTCTAGGGTTTTGCCTCTTGGCCCCAAAGAGCAGGGAGCAGACATGCTGGGACGTGGACCACTGGTCTATTTGGACAAGGCGTGAGCAGGATACCTGGTCAGTGCAGAACTAAGGCCCAGCCCAGCTCAGGTGATGGGCTCACTCACTCAAAGTGCTGTGAGGCCTGGGTACTTCCCCCACCCCAGTTCCAGCCCCAGGGCCACCCACCTGCAGTTTCCAGAGGAAGTCGAGGCGGGCGGTGGACTCCACCTGCTGGGCGTGCAGGTACAGGGCCAGCACAAAGACTGAGATGATGATGGGCGTCACCACCTTCAGCGCCACCTTGGTCGCATGCTCAGGGCTGCAGGCAGGAGGGAGATGCCCTGGCACCTCATGGTGGGCTCCAAGGCCCCTCAGGCCCTTTGTCTTCCTCCTGCTATATCACCTCCCTTTCCTCACCTTCCTGCTCAAACGTTGCCTGAGGTGTGCTTCTGGAAGCCTTCCTGACTAGAAGCCCCACCTCAGCCCTGCCCTCCCCTGCAGCTTAGCACCAGTACTTCTCTCCTGATGCTTTACTCCCCCTTCACTGGCGAGGGTCCCTCTGGTCACATCACAGGATGAGTGAGGCCCTTATAAAAGGCTACGCATACACCCCAGGTCTTTCTCATTGGGCAAGACAAAGGGCCATGGGCACAGTAACAAGGGAGCAAGGCAGGCCACACTGACCATCTCTGGGACACCTTGGGCAAGTCCCTTAACCTCTCTGAACCTTAGTTTCCTAATCTGTTAGGTGGAATAACAATGCCCACATTTCGAAATTGTGGTAAAAACTAAAGATGCTATATGCAAATCCCTTGTCCCTGACAAACAGTAGGAACTCCAAAAGTGATAGCTATTATTACCTAATTATATTTCTGTTAACATTTTTAATAAACAATCTTAAAAGCAGCTATCCCAAACCCTCCTCCCTGTGCTAGCAAAGACCCAACCTTGAGTGCAGCCACCTAACCGACACCCCAGGGGGAGGGGCACCAGTTCCTGTTCTCCTGGGCCTGGGGTCCTGTTCACATTCCTGCTGAAGAGCCTGAGGCTAAATGCTTTAAGATGAGGCTTGTGGAATGAGCTGTGGGTCCCGAGAACCTGGTCACCGAGTCCATGTTATCATCTTGGGGTGGTGGGGATCATAGAAAAAGAAGGGCATCTACCCATTTGGTATGAGGGAGGGGAGGGCCTCCTCCCACCTGGGCACTGCTGCCTTCTCTGCGGGCCCTGGCTGCTCTGTGCCAAGGGCAGGGAGAGGCCGTGTCAGAGAATCAGAGAAAGAGCATCGACTCACCACTGGGAGGTCCCGTTGTTGTTGAAGTCTCTGTGAACAGGAGTGGGGAGGGCTGCTCAGGCCACTCTTCTGCATCAGCAGCTTCAGTGCCTGCTGTGTCCCCCGACCCTGCTCTGCCCCCCACCTTGTTCTGCCCCCACCCTGCAGGACCCCCATGTCCAACACTGCTACTCCCACTGCTACTGCTCCTTCACCCCCACCCCCAGTACCCTTCCTGACCCAAGGAGATTCTCAGCATGGGAGGCTTGCAGAAAGCCCAGGACCACCTAGTATCTGGTCACCACGACCACAAATTCCCCAGCCCTTAGCCGGGAACTTGGGGCTCCCCAGCATATCCACCGCTCCCACCCCAGCCTCGCTGCCGTCCAGAGGAGGAGGAAGACTTTACCTGCACTGTCCAGTATGGTAGCCACTGGCCACATGTAGCTGCTGAGCCTTAAAGCAGCACTGAGTGCAAGTTTGTGCCTATAGCATATGCTGCCTTGTTCTCACAGCTACTATGTTTTGAATTACATATGTGGTTGGCATTATTCAGCTACTGGACAGTGCTGCCCTAGAACCGAATCAGGGCCTCCCAATCCAGAAATGACCTCCATTCTCTGCTGCTGCTTCACCAGGAGGAGAGGACAGGCTAGGGGTGGGGGGAAGAGCAGGTAAGAAGAGGCCAAGTTCCCGGCTCCCACCCTGATCCATAGGTAGAAAGGCCCAGACGACCTTCCTCTCCTTGTCCTCTTGGGCCTGCAGCCTGCGCTGCTCCCAATGCTACGGTGTCTCCCTGTCATCTGCCCAGAGCCCCGCACAGCCACCAAGAAGTTCTTGCTTGAATCTGACTTAGATCCTTCATTACACCTTCATTTTCTCAGGTGATACTCTCTTCACAAGAAAGTGACTGTATCTCCACTGCCTAGCTCAGTGCCTAAAACACGGCAGGCCCACAATAAAATTTTGGAATGAATGGATCTCGTCCTCTGATTCAGAGAAAGCACAGGGTGCCACGTTTCCTCAGGGGACACAGGCCTTTGTGTTTCCTGACGTGTGTGTTGGGCGGGGGGATGGTAACGGGAAGAAAAGTGTTCTACACATAAAAGTGTCAGGCACCACATACATTTTACTACTATGGGTATTATTCCCATTTTACTGGGGAAAATAATGAGGTTCAGGAAAAATAGCCAAATGTGTATCTGAGGCTGAGACTGAAACTCTCAATTTGACCTAAAGCTAGAGGTCTTGCCCCTCACAATCAGATACCTGTTACTGTATGACCAGGCTGGCTGCCAGCTAGAGAGCCTGGGGCACAACCCTCACACCTGGCCCCTCCGGACTGGGGGACTTCACCACTCACCCCACAGGCAGGAGCCTCTGAGCCACGCACAAGCCACCCATCCTTCCCTGGCAGCCGTGCCTACTTCGCTGGGTTGCTATGGGGATGGAAAGTGATAATGCAGGTCCCAGTGCCTGGCTCCAGGTAGGACACAGGGCACATAAACAACAAAGGCTGTTCTTCTGTTCCCACAGGCCTTGCTAGCCAACCCTGTCAACCTTGACCCTTGGGCCCAGGGTGCCACAGGCGGTTGGGGTTAGGTGAAAATAGCTCATCAGAGGCTACCCTGGAAAAGTGAGGAACAATTAACTGAGGCCTGAGGTCAGGACTGAGTAGGAAACTGGAGGCAGAAGAGCAGTGGGACCAGCCACCCCGAGGCCACCCCTCCACTGGGAAATGGGGAAAGCGAAAGAAACAAGACGCTGTGGTGCTTTGCCCGGGTGGTCAGAGCTGGGGAGCCAAAGGGCACTCTCCTTGCAAACCCCCTGCAGCCCAGGGGCCCAGCCTCTTGCTCTTCCCACCTCTCTGCAATACCCCAGACCCAACAGGGACTTGAGGAGGGTGCCACCTACATGGCATTGGCAGTGACCAGAAGGTCGGCATTGTCAAAGAGCGTCACACCGGGCACCTCCACGATGAGCACATATATAAGCTCAATGGACAGCATGAGCACCAGCTTCCCAATGCAGCTGATTTGCAGGAACACGGAGCAGGCCAGCAGGCTGAGCAGCACGCTGTAGGTGAAGTACTACGGAGAGAGGGCAGCAGGCTTCAGTGACCACCCCCGCGCCCTCCCCACCTCCCAGCATCCAGCTAGCCTGAGCTGGCCTCAGGTGAAGCCTGGTCTGGGGATATTCCGCTGATGCAAACCTGTGATATGCTGTGGAGAGCCCTGCTTAGGAGCCAGGAGATGGGGCTCCAGGCTGGGTTTGACCAGCACTGGCAGTAGGGCCCCATGGTTAGAGCACGGCTCCAGGCTCAGACCCACGTGAGTTACATCCTGATTCATTACGGACTATTTGTGTGACTTGGGCCATGTATTCAACCTCTCTAAGCCTCAGTTTCCCCATCTGCAAAACCCCCTATATCATGGGCTCACAGTGACGATTATAAGAGATGGGGCCACTTGGCGCAGGGCCCTGCACTCTCAGTAACTGTGGGGAGCACAGGCCTCAAGCCCCCAATCTGCAACTTTAAATCCAAAGCTCCGAAAACTGAAAATGTTTTCCTAACTGATGTGGTGGTAACCTGACCCACTGATGAGGCGCCGATTCTCATCTTTATCTTGCTCTCTGTGACTGTTCATACAATCTGCTGCAGGAATATTACTGTGTTTCACTTTCAGTTGCTACTCACTGCACTGGGAGTGAGAGGCAACCTTTTAAAATCTGAAAAGTTCTGAATATATCTGACCTGCAAGGCTTCAGATGTACCATTTACTCTGGGGAAGTCTCTTCTGGTCTCTGAGCCGCAGTTTCTCAGACACCTGAGGAGCTGAACCAGGTAGACCAGGAAGGAGGTCCCCTTCTGCTCTGTCATTAGCATCTAGATGCTAATCCTAGACCTGCCAGCACCTATTATTTTGTTCTTCCTTTTAAATTTAGCATCATTATTTCTGAGTCAGGCATTGGGACTCACTATTCACTGCCTCTGCCTTGGGCTGGAGGCCAAATGGCAGTGGCTGGCAGGGTGGACTTCCTGACTCCTCAGGCCTTCAGGAACCCACACAGGGGCTGCAGAGAACCCCAGGTGACTGAAAGGGGGAGGGACAAACCTCCAGTCACCACCAGGAACAGAGGCAGAAGAAGAGGTAGGGAAGGCAGACCCAGTTCACTCAGCCCAACGGTAATAAGCATAATAAGCCCATCCTTGGGGGATGGAGAGGGGACCCCAAGAGCCAGCCTGGATTCCCATGCAGATTCAGAGCCCAGACAACCAGGAGGCTAAGGCTGAACCCTGTGCTCCTCCCCCAAGGGCCTCAGGGTTTCTGAATCAGAACAACACTATGGGGTGGGGTCAGCCCTGGTACCCAGCAGGGATAAGCAGCCTGAAACTGGGGGGTTGGTGAGGACTGGAGACTGACAGCTGGACTATCCATCTCCTGAAAATGGGGAGCTAGAACAGGCTCTGCCACTGCCCTTTTCCCCCAGCTGCCCTTTCCCCACTCCTCCGCTTCTTCCTTGGAGCAACCACCAGGGGACAAATGCAGACCAAAACCAGCTTCTGCTTCTCAGCAAACAGCCCCCAGGCAGCAGCTCCTGTGGGCTCTTGGCCAGATGTGAGAAGGAAGAGAGGCGGGGAGTAGAGGGGGGTGACCGGGAAGCCTAGGCCTGCTCACCCTGGCTGCCTGAGGACCATGGCCTCCGGGGAGAGGGAGAGCTTGGCCTGGGCCCAGGGACAGGTGGAGGGGAAGCGCTGCTCTAGGGAGCATCGGCAGAGTCCTGCTCCTCAGTTTCCCTCGCCCTGTCTGTGCTGGCAGGAGAGACTAGGCTCCTTTCCAGGGACGGGGAGAGAGGCCAGCACTGTGGCAGCCCTTGGGGCCCCACTGCAGTTCTGGGCCCTTGTGAGTCATGGGCCCCTTGGGAATTGAATGAACCCTCGGACCCTCTCCCCAGAAAAAGGCAAAACTGCCATCATCTTACAGGCTTCATATGACCCCCTGGCGGGAACCTGGGGTATGGGAACCACCCAGTACATGGAGTGGGCACCCTGGGTTGGAAGCTTGGCCCACTGCTCCCTTGAAAACAGCTCCCCAAGAAAACGCAGCTAGGTGGACGAAGCACCTCACATACCACAGGCGTTTACTGCACGCTGCTTTCTAGGGGTTTTCAGCATGAAAGCTACAGGTACATGATTTTTAAAGCCAATAAGCTACAGGTACATGATTTCTTCTTGGGGTGATGAAAATGTTCTAAAAATTAGATCGTGACGATGGCTGCACAAGTCTGTGAATATACTAATAGCTACTGAATTGTACACTTTGAAGGGGTGAGCTTGATGCAGTCCCTTTCCTATGCCCCTGCTTTCTGACCCACAGAAGGGGGCTGGCCAGGGTCTCCAGAGGCTGTGCTGGGTCTGCTGCCCAAGCCGAAGATTCAGAAACAGCTCTACCTTGGGTTCAGAGCAGGAACTCTGGAGCCACATGATCTGGGTGGGAGCTCAGGCTCTGCCACTTACTATCTTCGTGATGTTGGGCAAGTTATATGACCTCTCTGTGCCTCGGTTTCATTCATATAAAGGAGATATAACAGTGTCTATGTCACAGGGTTGTTGTGAGGATGACAAGAGTAAATGGATGTAAATAAAGCACTTAGTACAGTGCCTGCATGTAGTAAGTACTATATGAACAATAGCTATGCTACTGCTGTTACTATTACAGAGGAGGCTGGCCTTGTTCCCTAGTGTTTGCCACGTGGATGAGAGAGACTGAGAAAATGGGCCTCTGGAATGGCAGTGAAGCCCCTGACTGTCCCTGAGAGCAGTCAAGGACACATGGGGGGGTGGGAGGTTCTCCCTCTGCACCCAGCCCCTCCTTGCCCAGTACCTCGGGGAAGTTGCAGTTGGGCCAGGTGCTGCTGCAGAAGCCCTGCTCATCCCCCAGGCTGTAGTTGACAGCGGACTCCACCACGTGGCACGCGTTGACCTGGCTGGTGCTGACGTTATGTTCCTCTGCCAGGCAGCCGAACAGGTCCTCGGAGTTGCACATGAACTGGGGGCAGGGGAGGAGAGGGTCAGCTGTGGGGACCAGGCCAGGGCAGCCCATCTCCACAGGGCAGTGGGCACCTGTTCACTCTCCGTCTTGGGTGCAGCCTGATACTGACCCAGGACAGGAGAGGGGCCTGGAAGAGGCTGAGGACCCAGCAAGGTTTGGCTGCTGCCCAGGGCAGGGCTCCTGAACATCCCCTGGGGCTTCCAGAGTCCCACTAGCTCCTCCAGCCCTGAGAGGTTTTAGGAGTCAAATCTGATCCCAGACCTGATGTGAGACCCAAAGAAGAATTTCTGGGAGGGAGAACTTCAGGGTCTGGGGGAGACTCTCCTCTCAGCTCATGCTCGGGGGGTACAGGGCTCCAGCAATTTCACCCAATGGCTGGGGAGGTGGAGCCACCCACCATGTTGACAAAAGCCGACAGGAACACCAGGATGATGGTGAACACGCCAACCAGGGTGCTATTCATCTTGGACCGCACGATCTTCCTGGAGAGGGTCTGCAGGGGGCCTGGGAAGAGCTGGGGGGAGGGGAGGGAGAGAGAGACAGAACAGAATTCAGTGGGTGCTCCCCAAACCTCCATAGAACCAGGTCCCCATCCACCTTTGTCTCTGGGTGGAGTAACGCAGGGCCCTTCCTGAATGTGCTCCCCGTGTGCGAGCCTCCAGCCTGGCACCACTGCTTCCAGCCCCACAGCCCAGCTTCTGCAGCTGGCCAGCAGTGGGTCTACCTGGGGAGCTCACAGGTGGGAGAAGCAGGACAGAAGGGAGAAGGAAAGATGCTATCTTGACCCCAAAAGGGAAGCAAAGGAAACAGCACCTGAACCTGCTGTGTGAACTCTGGGAGTTACAAACAGGGAGGGGCAGTAGGTGGCAGCTGAGGAGTCACTGTGGGTCAGAAGGCTTCTTAGAAGAAGGGAGCTGTAGGTCCAAGGATTCGGAGAGGGCCTGGGGTCTGGAGGAACGGGGTGAGCTGGTGAGAAGGGGCAGAGGAGTATGTGGGCAGGAGGGCGGGCCACAGACAGTGAGTTCAGTGAGCCCTTTCAGCAGGATGCTCATGGATCTGCCATTTCCCTCACCTAACTCTCCCTACATTTCCTTCAACTAGACAAACCATATGTCCACTCAAAGACCCGTTGTGGTGTTGGTAATTATATGATCGGGTCTCACCAGTCTGACACAGTTGGCCTTGTCCACCATGACCGCCTCCTCTCCCAACCAGCCTGGGCCGAAGAAGCTGGCAGACCCAGGGGAGTGGACACTACCCAGCTGCCCATCAGTTTGATGAAGGGAAAACAAAACGTGATACAACCACACGATGGAACGTTATTTGGCCATAAAAAGGAATAAAGAGCTGTTACATGATGGCATGACGTGGGTGAACCTTGAAAATACCGTGCTAAGTGAAAGAAGCCAATTTCAAAAGGCCACATATTGTATGATTCCATTTACACAAAATGTCCAGAACAGGCAAATTCATAGAGACAGAAAGTAGATTAGAGGTTGCCAGGGGCTGTGGCAAGCAGGGAGCGACCAGTGATAGCTAACAGGTCTGGGGTTTCTTTTGGGGACGATGATAATGTTCTGGAGTTAAGTAGTGATGACAGCTGCACAACGTGATGAATATACCCCAAACTACTAAATTACAGTTTCCTCCACCTTTATAAAGTGGATTTTATGGTATGTGAATTATAGCTAAATAAAGCACTTAGTAAAAAATCCTGCTCGGCCTCTTGCAAGCTGTCTGATCCTGGGGAAGTCATTAACGGCTCTGAGCCTTATCAGTAAATAGGGAACATCGAAGGTGGCTATGGAGACTCAGTGAAATGATGCTTTGAAAGTGCTTTGTAAGCTGTTAAATTCAAAAGAAAATTTAGTTAATATTTGTATTTTAAAGAGCTATGTTGCCAATAAGAATGAAGGTCCTTGTTTCCTATTAAAGGAATTTTGGGTTTCACAGCTGGGAAAGTGTTTTGGCACCAGCATCAGGATCTCACTCTGAAGTGCTGTGACAGATGGTATCTAATCTCTGCCTGCTTCAAATTTTGCCATCCCATCCTCCATCCCCACCCATGTTGCTTAAATGGTTTTAGTTCTGATCATCCTATCCATCAACTGAAGGGCTTCCTTGGTTAACTGCAATCACCAATAACTGGAACAGGATATGCACATGGACTGCCTGGTCAGTGGAGACCAGGAGTTCCACAGCGGCCACCCAGAGGCAAGGAGAAGAACAGCAGGCTTTTAAAAATCCAATCTGAAATGTCGTTCTAACATCTAATGAATGATTGTGTCTTAATGCACTGGCTTGCTACAAGCCAATGTCCCTTGTCACCCTTTCAAAAGACCCACTCTTGACTTTAAAACCATAGCAAGTACCTGGGAATTGCTGCTTTTTAAAGTCTCTAGATGTGACATCCTGCCCTGGTATTGGTTTAAAGAGCATCTCATCTCCTGTAATCAAAAAGTGCATCAGCATGTTGACCCTAAATCCCACTTTTATTAACCCCAGCGTGGATGACAAAACTTCCCCTGGGGCTGCAGGCAGATCCTGGAAAGTATTTTTTACGGGAGGATTTGTGTCTGTGCAAACCAATTGCTCAATGCTTGCTCACAATCAGAGCTCAGAAAAAGAATCAATGAAAGAAAATTCAAACCAGTACATTCCCAGTCTAATTAATTCAAATTGATTTAATATGAACATGGGAGTAGGCACATAATTAATAAACCACGACTGGGTGAGGGACAGTTTTGATCCTGGCCTCTCTGAGTCTCCAGGCAAATCGATGACTTCCCTAGAGCCCTTGTTCCCATCTGTGATGTCAAACCAGGGTGCTGCAGAGGTGAAAGAAGGTGGTGAAATCTGATGGCAAAGTTCAAGAAAACAGCTTTTTTGACAAAGAGCTAATAAAAAAGCAGTAGCTCCTACTTCAGAAAAGTATTTTAAAAGATGAAAATTTCGGAGGCCAAACAGCAAACACAAGCTGATCAAGCTTCACACCACTGCTCTCATCACCTGGCCTCTCAGGGGTCAAATGGACAAATTAACAAAGGCAGTGACCTGGAGGGGAAGGATTGTGGGCTCTGGAGTCAAGAACCATGTGGGTTTAAATCCCAGCTACACCACTTCCTAGCTCCAGGAACTGGGGAAAGCAGCGTTATTAACCTCCCTGAGCCTTATTTTCTTCATCTGCAAGGTCAATGCAATAAAAGTCACCTTAGAGGCTCAGGAAGGTCAGCTCGAAGTGGCACAGCTGGGATCTGGACCCTAGACTTTCTGACTCAAAAGCCACTGAACACACGTCTGGCAACAATATATCCTTTCCCTAACAGACAAAAGGTGACCCTGAGCATGGTGGTGGAAAGGTGAGTGTGGGAATCCTAAGCTCCTCACAGGAAAGAAGATACCTTAAGAGGTGAGATGTACTTGTAGTATCATAAGACCCTACTTTAGACACTGGGTGGCAGTCAGGCTGAGAGGTAGACAGGACAGCCAGCAAGGTGAGACTTAGCCACATTCAGGCTTTGGGGAGAAGAGCCACTGTTTGGAGACTGTACAGAGCAGACAGAGCCTAAAAACTCTGGTCACAGTTCCTAGGAGCTCAGACAATCAAGTCCCAGGGGTCCGTGGGATGCAAGTTAAGAGGGAGCCAGCAGCCTGGAGGAGGAGGGAGATAAACACACACATGCATGCACGAGTGCACACGCACACACACAAAGAAGTATGTGGCTGAGTACTCCTACTGGGCCTATCTGTACCCAAGTCCCAAACTGCAGGAGAGGAATCTGGCTTTCTGAAAAATGATGTGCTAATGAGCTGCAGTAAAGGCTAAGCACCCCCCGATCAGCCTGTGGGGAAAGCAGGGTGCCACCTTCTTCTACTCATTTGGGTGAGGGTGGCAAAAGCGGTGGCACTCTCAGGGATAGGCCTGGGCTGCTTCACAGACGATGGGACAGAAGCCACAGGGAAATTGATGGAACAGTCGGAGCTGGCCAAAGAGAGGAAGGAGGGGCTGCACTCAAGACATGTGAGTGAGCTTGCTGTCCCTGGAGGCCATCAAGCAGAGGCTGGTCCACGCCTTGCAGGGTTATCATAGGGGAGTCTGGCCTCAGGCGGGTGTCTGGGCTGCCTCATTGCTTGGGCCCCTTCAGATCTGAAATTTTCTGAGGCTGTGGACCACATGTGATGGCAGGGAGGGATTTAGGATGGTTTTCTCTTAAAAAAGCAGTTCTGGGGCCCAGGGCAGCACGGATGCCAAGGGAAGGGAGGAGTAACCCGTGCAGGTTCAGACAAGACGGCATCTCCAGAAGGAGGTGCTCAGGGGGTGATCCCCAGGGCGGGGCATCCCAGAGATAGCGGGGCTCTGTGGGGCAGCCGATGGGCTCTGGGACAAGGTGAAGACCATGGCACCAAATGAGCCTTAGTGAGAAAGTGAGGGCTGTGTGTGAACTGGACCAAGCTGCATCAGGAGAAGACGGAACAGATCCAAGGTGGAAAGGGAACCACAGCCCGCAGTGAGTAGGACGCAGAAACCTCCCAGCAGGAAGGACAGGAAACGGCTCCCTGGAGGACGGCAGGAGAACCACCCTTTTATGTCTCACTGTGCACACAGTTAATGGGCAACACGAGCGAGGAAAGGAAAATAATGAAATAGAAGAGAAGTTCATACTGAAAATGACTTCTCAGGTTGGGATCTACTTTCCAGAGAGTAAATATGTGCTGAGAAGATGGCTTATTAAGAGGCTGGGGGGAAGGACACAGCAGGACCCCAGGGCCGGTACTCCTGGCCCAGACCAGCAGGTTCCGGACTTGATCAGCCACGGAGTGTTTCTTCCTAAACAAATTCTCTACTGAAGCTCTGTATCTACAACATGGAAGAAGTGGTCACCCCTGGTTGGAGGATGTGGCTGGTGGGAGACGAACTGGGGGCAGGGAGGTGGGCATTTCCCCCCCAGCCCCCCCCCCAAGAAACCCTGGTCTCCTTGGAACCCCCAGAAAAACCACTGGGCTAGATAAAGGAATGGAGAACCAGCTGATTGAATGTGACACTGATTACAAACTAGGTAGATTCAATAAAACAAAAGGAGGCAGGAATGACTCTCATGAATAATCTTGAACAGGAAGAAGGAGAATTCACTAGACCAAAGTACTAATTCAAAACGGCCAGCGCAGGTTGGGGTGGGGGTGAGGGTG